CGACTATCATTTACTACTCATATGTATTACTTTTATTTAAGAATCAATAGTCATTAACTAACGAATGGTGGATATTGTCCGACAACATAAAAATCCATTATATTGTCTCAGAACAAATGCAAACACTCACTAAATACTAAATTGAAATCTATGTACAAACTGCAAAACTTTCCTTTGAGGTTATTTTTTGTGGAACAAGCTTCCTTTCTATTTTCCCTCTTTAGCCCACCAACTCTTTCTATAACAACAATAACTCTCAAACATGCTGGAATTCTAAGAGGTACATGGCTTATGACAATTTGTGTCATCTTATGCAATGTTGCTGAAGCTTGTTGAGTTCACAGTATGTTGATTAAGCTTTTCCAGGAGATTGACCAGAATTTCCAGCTCTCCTGAACAAAATTATCAAGTAATATTTTAAAGGAAGATCTAATAATGTTCTTGTTGCTGAATAAAGTTGGATACAATCTATAATGGATAAAGCATATTATAAGCAATCAATATTTATGAAATAGTTTCATACTATGTCTAGCACTTCTAATTGATGCATTCTTGTGTCTTGTGCTAAAAGCAATAAAGCAAGATGTAAAGAAAGACAACCATGAAAAGGTTGAAAGTTTCTTAATGCTGAGAACTGAATGGCACAAATAGCTTTAAGCTCATGATTAATTAAGATTTGGAATAAAGTTGGTAGCTATATACTTTATCTTCTTTTTTCAAAAGCTTTAGATTTATATTACCTATTATAAAGGACTATGCATGTTAAAGAACTCAAACCATCAATTCAATGTAACAGTTAAAAGCATCATAATCAACCCTCATTGTTATACTTTGATTTTCCTTTTTTATGAAGCTTTTCATTAAAGCAAGAACCATGAAGCTTGGAAGAGTTAAAGCCTTGTTTCTGCAAGAGGCATAGTGCACTTGAAAATAATCTAATGCAAAATTTTAATTATTGTTTGACAAAAATACAGATTAGGGAAGTATTTAATAAGGGTGTTGCGCTTTGAGATGTAATATGGTGAAATTACTATCAAACTTGCAAATTTAGTATAGGTAGCTTAAAGCATGATGATTTTCACCCTATGAACTAGTCTCTTGTCTGCTAATTAAGACAGACATAACAAGATAACATGTTAGATTTTATCTTAAAATTAATTGGAGTAAATATATATATATATATAATCCACTTAGGAATTGAAACAAGGATGTGGGACTTGCAAAAGGAAAAAGCAAATGTAAGATGATATGTAAATAATGAACATACAGTGACATAATCAAATTGAAATTAAAAGGACATAATAATATGTATGCACACATAAGTTATATATTGAGGTAAGTAGAGAAACCTGTTATGAATAGGATCTGGTCCATTGGGAACTCTTCTTTTGCTCATATAGTTGAAATCCAACTCTTCATTGGTGACAGGTTTATTATCTCTACCTATCACTTTCCCATGTTTGAGTCTTTCAGAAGACCATTTTGTACCTTCATGTCTTGTTCTTCCACCACTACTTATGCTTCCAACAACCAAAAGACAAACAAGCCCCACCACCGCTAGTGACCGATAGAAGAACTTTGGAAAGAAATAACCACTACTAGTACCCATATGCATGCAATTTAGTTTTCTCTGATTATATATTTGTATTATTTTATGTGGTAGCTAGTACTATTATAGGAAGAAGATAACTAACCTTGATACATATATATAACTTAAGTAGATGAAGTGAAAAACAGAAAATGGTATGATTGTATCATGATTGAAGTGAAATTTGGTGTATAAGAAGACAAGAAGAGAATAATATAGGGAAAGAAGGGAGAGTAGTGAAGTATGAGGTAGGGAAGAAGTATTTCAAATTTACTACAAAAGATTAAGGGTGTGGTTGGTTTTCTTTATAGGTTGGAGGGATTCTGTTGCACTTTCTCGAACTGTGAGAGAGAGATAAAGAGGGAGAAGGGTTAATTAAGTTGTTTGGAACGTGACATGGATGCAACAACCTCTTTGCTTTATACGACACTATTTTCTTTTGCTTTGATGTGTGTATTTTCATGCAACTACGATGCCAAAAGAACTCATTATCCTGTCTTTCTTTACGTACAATGTTTTAAAAGGAAAATAATAGGTTGCCTTAGCTCTTGTATTATGCTTTCGAATGCCTCTCAAGTGGAAGGGAATGCTTACAACTAAATTCATTCACTGTTTTCTTTGTCGTGAGGTGTAAGGATCCTCTCCATTAATAGAGTATATTTTCAATGACAAAATTGTTATTTCATTATGTACAAAAGGATCAAAATGTCTTCTCATGTTATATTTCCTTTGTATTTTTGTGATATTTATGGAGAGAATTCTTACTGATTAGTGAGAGGGTCTAATAGCATGGGAATAACTTTATTTTATGACAATCATTGCATATCGAGTATAAGTTTTATATACTGTCATTTCATCATCCATCATTCGTGTTTAATAATCATTGTCTCTTTAAAAAAGAAATACAAATTAATGATGAATGACGTACTGACTGTATATAAATCTTTTACACTGACAATTCATAAATATTACATATAAGTAGAAATTTTATTAATAGAAAACAATATTTACGACAGAAAATTATGCAAAACACTAACCAACTCTACAAAATTTCCAACAAAAATAAAAGAAGACATGAAACTTCACAAAACCGAGAAAGAAAACAAAACTTAACATTGTAAGCTTAGAGTTGAATTAGAAGTCCATTGAAACTGCGACATGTTAGCATGTTTATGTCGTCATTTGATCTAAATCTAAGACTTGAGTTTTATCTCATTCATAATATTCTCCAAAATCCAAAATATTGCAATAAATCCAAAATCCAAAATATTGCAACCTTACTAGTTGGAGCACCTACTCAAAACTCCAACTAGTAAGGTTGAATGTTACACTCTTAATTATATCTATCTCTCCTCTTTTTTTCTTCCACTTTCTACTTCTTCATATAAACACATTCCCATACTATATAATAAAAGCAAAGGGTCCCATTCGTGGTGACACATAACTTAATTCTAAATACTATCAATTACTATGGGTTAACAAAAGCACACAATGTTAGAAAGATGGCAGAATCTTATGTTAAATGAGTTCAAACATGTTTGAAGAACACATGTAGAAGCCCCAATAAAAATAGTAAATATGATATTGATTGTTAGAAATAGAAGAGAGCAAAAAACTAAATGAGATGACAATGATTTATTCATAAATATTAGTTACAATAGCATATTTTGATATGAGATAGCTAAGCGTTATTGAATAAAATTAATGCATCATTAGTTAAGTATAAATGTGATGTAAAAAATAATATATGCATGTGAAAACATGAAATTGGTAAGCCAAGTCTTGGACCTGTAGTTTAATGGCCAAGCTACATATAAAACAAACTCACATATGGATAAATACAAACAAGTCAGATTTAAAAAATAAATGCATTATTTGCTGTTATCATTTAGAATTAAATTTTACTTAGAACTAAATTTTTAATATGTTGTCAAAATTTTATTAGTTGTCTCTATATACATTTTCACACATTCAATACTTCATACCATCTAGTACCTTTCATCCAATGTGCTCAACTTTTCTCTATTAGTTTTTTAATTCCTAAGAATATTTTAATGTTTGGCTATATATAAATTCATGTTAGACTAATATAAATTTGACGTTAATTGAAATACCAGTACAATACTAAGTATTATATTTAACCCCCATGTACTCTGTTGGGTATTATAGCCAACCCAACATAGCAGGAAAAAAAAGTTCACTTTAAAATAATTAATCATGTACTTTGAACACTTCATAAAAGTATGTTGCCACTAATAATTCCATATATGCTCTATAGTTTGATGGCTGCCAGCCAAATGGCCCACATACATATATGCTTTCATAGATATATTTTCTGAACGATCTTAAACTCTATTTACGAGTTTTCTGATAGGGAATGAGAGAAATAAAATGTTATCAACTTTCTTATAAATGTATTTCATATTTCTAACTTTTTCTTTTTCATTCCAATCTTTTCAGAAACTAACTCGTAAACACACCTTAGTTTCCGTGTGATCTTTTGAAGTTAAATAGAATCTCTATGCTAAATTAAATAGGGAAGGATCGAACATATGCATTTGAACTATAGAATAGATTACAAAGAGAAGCTGGTTCCTTAGAATGAGGACTTTAACTAAGGGAATATATATATATAGCACATCATATCACACATTTCTCAAATTTGAGTATTCCTTAAGGCTAGAGCATAAGGCACATTTTGCCTTATCCATTCTGCTTGAATATGACAATAATTAAAAACCAAAGAGATTTTTGTGGGAGAATCCAATGCTTTTTACTGTAATAGCTTCAACTTGAAGGTACTTGAATAACTTAGTTATTCATAGAAGAAAGTGATGTATTACTCTAAGACCAAAGCTTTGGGAATTGATGCCTTGCCTATGGCACACACATGTTTGAGGTGTGGAATATTAACTTATGTACATTGGCACTTCACAGTGATTTATACAAAGTAATCAATTTCATAGCTATAAGGTTGGAGGCAATTACATGATTTTCTCATTGCAGATAAAAACTTGACCTATATCAAAAATTCAATCTAGATGATGGGTATATGATATATAGTATATGAGAAATTATGTTCCACAAATGTTATTATTAATTAGTAGTTAGGAATATGCTAGACTTAGCAATTTTATGAATTAGCATTTTCACTAAAAACCAACAAATCAATTTTTTCATTTCACCATATCATATATTTTCCTAATACTTACATTTTAGTCCCTATATTGTGAGTCAATGTTAATTTACGTCCTCAACATTACATTTAAACAAAAAATACTCTTGTGGCCTAATTGGAAGTTACTTCAACACTAACACGTCAATGATATATATTATATAACATTAGAGACTAAAAGTGTAATTTCATTCTAAACAAAAAGACATCAAACAAAATAGAAAAACTCATATTGGGTTAGGAGTAATCAGACTCGAACTGATGACTTATACCGTGTCAACGTGATACTCTACCCTTGAGTTATACCCTTTTCTTCTCTTACCCCATCGAGAAATATAACTGACTAATCCTAAGTGAGAGGTCAAAAAACTCAACACTACTATTTTTGAACAACTTGGAGTCGGGTATTCAATTGTCAACTGCTTCTATCGGAAATAGGATTAACTGCGGATTCGAATAATAGCACATGATTTCATAAAACCGTACGATTTTCCCGATCTAAATAAAGCGGATTTCTTGAATATGGATCAATATCTTCTATTCGACACCGGTAGGAGAAGAATCCGACTCGTATTTTTACAAAAATAGAGAAATCAAAACCAAGTCAAGATGATACGAATCAACCCCTCTTCTTGCATTCTTGTGTCAAATTTTTTACCTATGTTGTTTTTCTTACGTATTTCACAACACTTCCCTCTCCGTTGTTAAACAGGAGTATTCCCTTAAATTCATAATGAAAAGTAAAGAGTTAGTGTGATAGGATAACAGGTGTAATGGTTAAAATACATTTTCTAATTACTTAGTGCCTAATCAAATACATATTATCATCAAATCAAAAAGTGGCAGGAATTCGTGCAACTAAAACTATTTATCGAAAGAGAACCTAATATGGAAAAGGGTAATTTAAGATATTAAAAGCAAATCCAGTTGGGAACATATTTAAGCAGTAGAAGCAAAAAGATTCTCTCTATGTTACTGTATTTTCCGTATCTTTGTGGATTTGTTATAAAAAGCTAATCTTTTTTTCTCAGTAGCTAGATGACTGAGAGCACTACTGAGTGATTACCCATTGCTTTTATTTCTATAATTGGATTCGATATATAGAACAAAAGTGTTTATTTTATGCAGGAATCTTTATAATATGTTAAGATTTTGGCTTTTCTGATGCAGAGTATTTGATTTTGCTATATTTATACCAATGTTGAGTTGGATTGTAAAAATCTTCATTCAGACATTTCTTTTTAATGGAATGGCCTACTTAGGTGCCCTTAAAAGTGCTTTATGCCAAGGAGGCTGAAAGTTTCTGGAAGCCTTTTTAGTCATGCATTGAATTGGGGTTAGGTAAATGAAACTTCAATGCTTGATTTGAAAAATATCCTGGAAGATTTATTGATTTGCAACCTACCTGAACTACATTCAAAACATATATTTTTATATTCAGTTAATTAGCAATGAATTAACAAAGCAAATAATGTCTCAAGACAACTAGATCATAATAATAGTTTATAAACAAATTTAAAAAATAAAAAAAGTGTCTTATTGGATAAGTCTACTTGCACCCACCACCTTTTTGGGTTGCACATCCATTAAACCATTTCTGATGATTTCTCTGAACTTATAAAATAAACACATCTAATAAACCGTTGAAAATATACATGTGAATGTGACAATCCTGAAAAACCTATCTGCGTCTACCAATATAAACATACTAACTTTCCTTTTGGTTTAAAGCACACTATTCCATTTTACAATCATCCTAATCCATTCTACTTTCCTTTTGTTTTGAACCAAACTACTTTTTCTGTCCAGTCTTTAGCCGAGGTTTCATGCTTGCTCGTCTTGCAACATCCCATGCTTTTTGCGGGGCATAAACACCAAGCTGTGCAGCAAAAAATGACTCATAACCAGGTGAATCAAAAGCAAACCCGGTATGTTTTGATATCTCATGTGGCAATTGAGATACACCATGGCCCTTCGCCTCAGCTGGGCTAAGAATGCCCCCCATCTCTATTAGTTGCTCCCTGCCGATGTCGTCGTACTCTTGTCTATGCATTTCTTGAATAATCTGATAATCATAAGGGAAGAACCATCTCTGAACCCTGCAACCAGATGGGCAAAAAAAATAAATTAAGGCAACTAGCTTGTAGGAATAAACAAAGGGAACACTGTCTGAATCTGTCTATTGCTACCATACATACAATTAGCACAAGATTCTAGGGTTACAAGTGCTTGAAAAAATGATCATGTTGTCATATGCATAACATGATTTCCATGAGAAGCCGTATAATAGCAACCATTATCATTAGCCAAACATCTAGTTAAACTGAACCTTACCCTTGGTAAAGAAAGTCGCAGAAAAGTGCAGCAACCGGAACCAGTAGCAATGTAAGGTAGAAATATAATGTACTCATCAAAATATATATGACAAAATATAAGTTCTCCTGCAAGTAAATGATAGAACTTAAGTAAATAGTGTTTCCAAGGGGTGATAAAAAAATTACCAACATTTATTTATTTTTATAAAACAGAGAATTTACCTGTCGATCATAACGAGTGTTGATCCCCGTATATATAAAAACAAAAATAAACCATGCTAATATACTTCCACCAACACTATAATAATGCCATCTTGTGATTGAATTGCATATCATAAGAAGACGCAAGTTAACGGTTAATACAATACATGTGAAGGCCATTGTACTGACATCCCAGTGCCCAAATATCTTTCCAGCTGGATTTTTAGCAGTTGAACTTGATGTACTCGCAAAATGAAACAATACCAGAGACTGGTAGACAGAGAAAAAGGCCCATATAGCCACAACTCTCCATTTGAAAAAGACATTTTTTATTCCCTCCATGTATAATTCAGGGTACTTCTTCGATAGAGATGCACTGACATCCTTGCAAAGGCACAAGTAAATCATTAAACCAATGTAAACATCTAAAATAAAACTTACTGCAATCCCAGATGATTGGAAAGAATGTGATACCTTGTCAAATAGTCCAACAATAACCACAGGCAGTGCAGTGAAGATAACATTATACAATGACTGAAACCAATCATCATAGAATCTCTGGCCAGAAAACCCAGTTTGAAAAGTAAACCAAAACTGAGTAAGAGTAAATGTGAGATTCTTGTAAAAGAAGTATAACACCACCTGCAATAACAAATTTCAAGGATGTTACATCCAAGAGAGGAAGAAAAAAGAAGCTACACATACAAGTATAGAATTCACAAACATGACACCTTGCATATTCGAAAATATGACCATCGGCCATGAACAAGAAGCAAATCTGCAAGGTAACGGAACTGTGCAATAGCAAAATCACTAGCCATCACGGCTTGCATCCCCTCCATCCCACTTATGCCAACACCAACATGAGCAGCTTGAATCATGCTGACATCATTAGCTCCATCACCAATACAAAGTGTTATTTTATTTGCACCTTTCCTGACCAAACTTGTGACCTGTGTAAGCACAAGGAGTTATGGTCCAAACAAGCCCAGATTCTACTAGGCAAGTTACTCCAGACACTCGTACTAACTAGGCCAAAATTTGATTCAAAACTAACCTTGCTTACCGTAAACTCTCCAGAAATCAACAAGAATAAGGTAAGCAGAAATAGCAAGTTATCTGTCTTGGTGTACAAGTTTTACCTGAGCTTTTTGTAAAGGAGAAACCCGACAGCAAACAACAGCATGACAACTCAAACTGAATTTCAGCAGCATGACTCTCAAACTTGGATCCAATGCATACATTAGACATTTACCATCAATTACCAGTGCTAATTTTGGTATAGATAGAGAGCTCAAATAACTCTGTGCTTCCTCGAGGCACTTCTTGAGTTCTCTTTTCACTTCTTCATTAATAAATCGTGCAATTTCTACTTGGTCCCCCTAAGGAAAATACAAAAGAATACAACTACTGGAGTCAGATAAAGAAATTACAAAAGAATACAACTATTACAGTCAGATGTATAAGACTTTGGTTGACAAATTGTGAAAGCAAAAAACTGGAGCTTACCCTGTCTTCAACCTCTCTAATTGCATCAGTTTCTGAACTGATAATAAATTGCTTCATCTCATTGTTTATTAGATTGCATGCTACAGACAAAGGGTGGAAAAACAATGTAAATTGAGTAATAACAACATTATAAGGCACACACAAGATTATCAACAACAACAAGCAAGCCTTAATTCCACTAGATGGGGTCAACCAAATGGATCAAACGACACCATAATTCTCTATCATAAATCATGTCCATTATGATCCACTCTGCCTTAATAGTTTTACATATGGTTTTTCTTGTCCTACCTCTGCCTCTAAGAGTTGGACTAACATTCATATGATATACTCTCCTTATTGAAGTTTCTACTAGTCTCCTGCGCACATATCCAAACCACCTAAGGTGAGATTCTACCATCTCTCTATTATGCACAAATTATCAAGATGCGGAAAAACTAACTCCATTGAAAGCAGACTCACCATAGGCAATATTTATTGCTGTTTCAATCTTGTCCCCTGTAAGCACCCAAATTTTAATGCCAGCTCTTTGAAGAGTCTCTATACAGGCTGGTACTCCCTCTTGAAGCTTGTCTTCTATGGCAGTGCTACCAATCAAAATGAGATCATTTTCTATAAGTTCGGCCACCTGTATAATTTCCATTCATATCAGTCCAAACAAAAATAATTCACATATAGTGAAATACACATGATGTTATCTAAAATTTATTAGATCGGTGAAAAAAGCAGGATCATGTCTACTTTCTTAAGATATGCAGTTATATAAAGGAAACAGTTGGAATAAAATGCATGGTAACAAAGATAACCTGTTTAGTTGGGATTGTGTAGATAACTTGCTTTTATATGGTAAATTACCAAAAAAAAGTATGAAGTTGATTGTATTGATTAATAATATCATTTGGAAGCTGGTTTTGGAGGGCTGAAATGGAGAAAATGTGATTGGTTTCAAAATAATCTAACAACTTTTTTAAATAATAGTAAATTTTGAACCATGATGGTTTTCAAGTTGCTTTCAATAACAAATGATAATGGAAAAAAAGATTGGACTAGTGACGCAAACAGCCACTTAAATTGACAAATGTTTAACAAGAAATAAAAATCATTTGATACCTAAATATGGGCATAAAAGCTACCCGATTAGGATGAAATGTACCTCATCTAACTTCTTTTCACGATCATGTAGAGAAGATTTGGCATGGATGAACTTTTCATTCCAGCTTTCATAAACATCAGGGTGTAAATCTTTGTAGGCAAGGCATAGTGTACGTAGTCCAGCACATCCAAAT